GTGAGATGAGGATAGAGTGGTCAATTGTGTCAAACGCTGCGCTCAAATCCAACAGCACTAGCACAGCAGATTTGCCAGAGTCAAGAGTCAGTAAAATATCGTTTAGAACTTTAACCAGTGCTGTTTCAGTAGAGTGGTTTTTCTTAAACCCTGATTGGAATATCTCGAAGATCTTATTTTTATCTAAGAAGCTCTGTAGTTGGGTAAAAACTATTTTCTCTAAAATTTTCGACATAAAAGAAAGATTTGAGACTGGCCTAAAATTTGTTAACACTGACGGATCTAAATTAGCTTTTTGAGAAGTGGTGGACAATAGCATGCTTCATTTCATCTGGCACAGTTGCATCTACAAGGCAGCTATTCATGATCTTTTGAACGATGGGCCCAATCACCTCAAACACTAGTTTAAAAAAGCGTGGGGGAAGCGCGTCATGGGGGGATCCTGAGGGTTTGAGCCCGTCTACAATATCTTGTAGAGCAGGCAAAGTAACTGGCTCAAAGTGACTTAGGATACTAGTGCAGAGTGGCGGGAGAAAAGAATCATAAAGTGCTGTGGAGATATTTAGCCTAATATCACTTATCTTATCCACAAAATGTTTTTGAAATGTGTCACAGATAGCTTGAGATTCTGTAGGGTATAAACTGACAGAAGGGTTAACAGCAGCATTTATGGTGGAAAAAAGTACTCTTGGGTTATGATGATGTTTTCCAATCAGATCTGAGAAATACTTTGACTTTTCCATTCTCACCCCATTCTGATATTGTTTCAGATTGTCCCTTAGAATTTCATATGAAATTTGGAGCTTATCTTTTTTCCATCTCCTTTCGGCCCTTCTGCAGGCCTGGCGGAGAGCACGAGTATTGTCATTAAGCCAGGGATCACGTTTTAATTTGTGTTGTTTGGCTTTTAAGGGTGCCAGAGAGTTTAAAATATTAACTGAAATGGTATTAAAATGATTAAGAGAATCTGCACCACTCTAATTATCACAAAAAACGTCAGGTGATTGGGACAGATCATTAAACACAGCTGAAAACTCAGAAGAGGTAGTCGATGTGATTTTACGAGACCATCGAATAGCCTTAGTGGGTCTTGTAATGTGAAAAGCAGTGGGGACTCTAAAGACAATAGGCTTATGATCAGAAATAAGATGGTCCTCTATTACAAGGTCACTGACTGACAAACCATGTGAAAGCACCAAGTCCAGAGTATGGCCCTGAATATGAGTGGGAGTGTTTACAAATTGTACCAGATCAAAAGAGTCAATAAGGCTCAAAAATTCTTTGGCTAATGGATTTTCTAAACAACACACATGAATATTAAAATCCCCCATAATTAACATTCTGTCATAATTGGGAGTAATCCCTCTTAACAAATCTGAAAACTCATTAATAAAGTCTTTATGAGGTTTAGGTGGGCGATAAATAACTGCAATTGCCACTGCCAATGAATATATATATACATATAATTCATTATTTTAATCATTTTCAGTTAAAGTGAGGCATGTTTTATTCATATTATTATATCATTTTTTATTATGGCTGTGTTTTTACTTGCCATTAAGGTTAGGATTATACCTCTAACAATGTGTGCATATACTTTTTTTTAAAAAAAGTATTTTTTATTATTTTAATTAAATTATTTTTTCTTTAATTAAATTATTTAATTTTTTATTAAAAATAATTTTAATCAAAAATTAACAATTTAATAATTTTAATAAAAAATGAATAATTTTAAATTTTAATTATTTCATTATTTAATTTTTCATTATTTTAATGAAATTAATTTTACAATATTGCATTTTTATTCACATGATATGTTTAATATTATATTTGTATTGCAATGTAGCTATAACAATATTTAATGGCTGACGCTGTGTATAGGCTATAAATATTTGTAAAAAAAAATGTTATTGGTTATGTGAGGTCTATACCATTGTGTCTATTTATCTTAGGTTTTCTGCATTTTTGCCTTTTTCATTTACATTTTTGAATATAATGGAAGTCAGTGGTGGAGGAAGTACTGCATCTCAGTACTTAAGTAAAAGTACAAATACCCAGATAAATATTTACTTTAGTAAAAGTAGAAGTAACACAATGACAACCATACTTAAGTAAAAAGTAAAAAGTACTTTATTTTAAATGTACTTTAAGTATTAAAAGTAAAAGTACTTGCATAACAATTTATTATCTTAATGTCTATTTTCTAATGATTAATAAAACATTTAATTCTAACTCATTCAACCTAATAGCCTACTCCTATAATGATGTTCAATAATGATGGAAAAAAATGTCACCATTTCTGAAACAAGCTTGCAATTAGGCAATATCATGCTTATCCTTACTATATGTTAATAACTATGTTTGGCAGTAAACGCGATTCATTTATGGTGTAATTCTGAACCTCTTGGCTTGCCATAATCCTAACCAAACCAAACATATATTACACACGGTGTGTTTCCTATGCACGTAAAAACAAATTTTCGCGTATGAGTTGCATGATAAACACACTGCGTGTGAGACGCATTTAGTGTGACCGGGTTGATATACTGTATCTATGGCAACCAAACGTCACTGGTGAGACAAACGTGCAACGAACGGACGGTCAGATTACGTTTTGGCAGGGGAAAAACTGATCAGAAAATGTAACGAAAATGTAACAGAAGTTGTAGAAATGTAGTGGAGTAGAAAGTATAATAATTGCTGCAAAATGTAACGAAGTAAAAGTAAAAAGTAGGCACTATTTATTGTACTTAAGTAAAGTAAAGATACGTGAAAAATGTACTTAAGTAAAGTAACGAAGTATTTGTACTTCGTTACATTCCACCACTGATGGAAGTGCATGATTCAAAACGTTTAAATAGTCTTATTCATCTGTAGTAGCCTATAGATTTCATTCTGACTGTCATATTCTCCTCACTTCGAAAAAGATTTTTATTATTAGCCTACTATTTTTATACCTATGAAGAGTTCAGATGCAAAAGCCTCTAAATGCCATTTGAAATTTTCTTCTTTAATGATGATTTTATCAAGCTTGTATATTTAAGTTCAGTAATTTCACTTAAATGACAATTAATGGATCTTCATTGCCATTTAAGTGAAATTACTGAACTTAAATATACAAGCTTGATAAAAATGATCATTATAGAAGAAAATTTCAAATGGCACTTAGAGGCTTTTGCATCTGAACTCTTCATATATATATATATATATCATAATCATGATATTCTGTATCTTATGTACACACTCTTTACAGAACAAAATAAAAAGCAGAGTATGAATAACTGACGACGAATTTTACTGATTTGATTGATTTGTTTGACGCAGCATATGTTTGACAATACAATGTAGCTTTACATGAAAGTTTTAGAATTGTCTTTTTTTTTTTCCTGATCGTGCATCAGGAAAAGCATCACGCGCATACGCGCGATCAGTTCATGAATAGCACCGGTGATCCGCACCTGTTACGAAAGTAATTTTGTATGCGTTTTATATTTTGTTCACTGCATGAGAGCGGTTTGACAAGCTAAAACTTGCACGCGCCACAGGTTATCGTTTATTTTGTTTTGTTTGTTTGTTTTTTTGGCACAGCGTTATAGCCATTTAATCATGCACAAACTGCCTTGACTCCCTGAAATACGAGATAAGTACCTAGATGATCGGACATCTCACCTTTAAACCACCCATCCTAATAATAACCCATACAAAGCTGAGATAAAGACACCACCTGCTCTTATCGCCTGCATGAAGTCAGTCTCACCATAAACTCTAATAAAGCAACCAGCAGGATATAAATGTCCGTCTGAATACAACAAATGTTTTTTCCTCACCTTTAGTACGGAGATGTCATCTGTGCTTGACGTTAAGTGGTCCTCATCCGCGTGTGCTGCTGTTGACCAGTCGCGCGCCCTCTGGCCCGACCGTGACCCGCGCGAGTGAACGGCGGCGCGCACTGAGTGAGACCTGCGACCGACGGGATTAGAGAGAGCTCGTGACAGTTCTTTATCAACTCCATCATGATTTCTTCATCACTGCCCCTTTATCACGCTATTTACTCTCTGACGTAACTATTTCAGCCACGTCAATGCGTATGGCATCCCAGATAGCGGTAGGCTAGTTCATAAAATATTTTAGTCCTGACTTTTTGGGGTTGCTGCCTAGCTAGAAGTAGGCAACACCAGTTCATTCTTTTAATCCAATCTATCATTTCACTAGCCTGTTTTATTATTTAATTGTGAGAAGAACACGTTTTGGTTTTGCAGATGATTGGGCTATTTATTTTGTGCATTTGAATACTTTTAATAGGCTTTGGCTTTCCATATTGGGTGACAAAAATGGAAAAGGTCAACAAGCAGAAACAGTCTAGGTGGCATTTAAGACATTTTGACTTTATCTTATAGCAAATGTTCTTCATTCACTTCCTAGACACATAGTCAAGATAACATGCCACATGGGGCAGCTGGACATGGTTTGGGTTTTTTTTAGTTAATAGGCTTTGTAAAACACTGGGAATCTGAAGTGTTGCTGTTCTGGGTGGTTTACTCCACTTAAAAGTAGTTTATTCAAGTGTGCTGCTTCTTAAGAAAGTATAGCCTACTTCCAGTCTACTTTTTATTTATTTCTCAGAATGTTCTTCTCAGAAAAATACTTAAAATTGTACTAATACATAGGCCTACTGTAACAAATGTATTACTAATTGTAAGTGCATGTTAGTTAATACTGTTAATACATTAACTAATTAAGCTTATTGTAAAGTGTTACCTTTTTTACATTTACATGTGACAGACAATCCACATTTATCCAAAGCGACTGGACTTTGCATTTCAAGGTATGTTTGTTTACATTATCAGTTCTTGCTTTCCCTGGGAATCGAACCCATGCTAGCGCTGTACTGTTTGAGCTACAGGAAACTACTATGCCGTTTCAGGAAACTGTTCTGAACTACATCTAAAGGATTAAAATCCTCTGAAAGCGACAAACTGACAAGAATACACTAATGAGAGGACTTGCAAGTCCGCTGCAGCCTTTCTCCAGTCCACTGGGTGTCAGTGACGAGCGCTGCTTTCTTAACCGCGCTTCCGCTCTCAGTCTTCGGCGGCCATCACGCTTCTGTCATTGCAGCGGCTTGATCCTTGAGCAGTGAGTATGTGTCGAAATCTAGTCATTTAATAAATAATACAGCGCCCGATTGTTTTTACTTGGTTAAACCGTGAATATTAATCTTCATCTTTCATGGTAAATGAATGTCGCGGTTTTGTGGTGGTTATTTGTGTCATTATCTTAGATAATTCGTTCGCTGACCTTGTCTTGTCGACTTGTGTGCATTAGTGAAGGCTTTACTTTTCAGTCGTTCTTATAAACCTAATTTCTCATATCAAAATAGAAAACAGTGACACTTTAGTTATAAATACTGTTTAAATGCGAAAGCAGTGTTTTAGTATTAGATTCAACTGGCGAGTGTCCTAAATGTTGGTATTCTGTGACTGATTATATGCAGTTTACATTTTGAATATTATATGTCTCGTGTGTGCTAAAAAATATCATTATGTGTTTGTCCGACTGGCTGTAACGTTACAATTTGCTTGACATGCAGCTGCAACATGTTTGCTTAACTTGTGAACGATATTTGTTATTCCTAATAACCATAACTTCATTAAATGTTTTGACAGGAGTAAAAATGGCAGGCCGACGTGCAGCTGTAAAGGCCATTGACTGGCTGGCTTTTGCGGAGAGGGTCCCTCCGAACCAGAGAGCCATGTTCAACAGCTTGAAGACCCGCAGTGACTCCATCACAGCAAAGTGAGTCTCTACAACCCTGCACATGAAGGACATTCTAGCATGTAGTTTATACAGGACAGAAGTGATGTGAGGTAATGGTTTTAAAGTTATGCTGGATTTATATTTTAAACCCAGCACGGGGTGATCCCTAAACCATCATCTTTGTGCCCTTGAGCAACACACCATAGGTCAGGTGCAGGTCAACGGACAAGCTGGCTAAACTTCACTAAAGCTGTGATGCTTAAATAGCTATTCTTGTTTCTCATGATAATGAACCAGTATCTATGGTTCTTGTTTCATTTATTTTTTTAAAGCAAGTTTTCTTAATATGCCTATACATCTATCATGGTCAAAACAGTAATATTGTGAGGTATTATTTTCATTTTAAAATGTAACTATTTTCTATGTGAATATAATGTCAAATGTAATTTATTCCTCTGATGCAAAGTTGAATTTTCAGCATCATCCTTCAGAAATCAGTCTAATTTGATCAACATTTGATTATCAATGTTGAAAACAGTTGTGATATTTATTTATTTATTTTTTGTGGAAATTATGTTGCATTTTTTTATGGATTCTTTGATGGAAAATAAGTTAAACATAACATTTATTTTTAAATATAAATGTTTTGTATCAATTTCTTGTTTAATATAAAACTATTAAATGTTTTGTTTGCTTTCTTTTTTAATAGTATTTATACTATTCAGCACTAATTATTTGATAAGAATTAGAATGATTTCTGAAGGATCATGTGACAATGATGCAAAGCTAAATTTTCAGCATCATAACTCCAGTCTTCAGGAAAAAAAATACATTTTATAATATATTCACATATAGAAGAGTTAGTTTAAATGGAAATAATATTATTGTAAATGCAATATTACTGTAAATAAATGCATCCTTGGTTTAGCATAAGAAGATTTTTGTCAAATAAAAACCTTTAAAAATTAAGTCCGACTGTCAAGGTTTTTGATATAGAAATGTTTGTATCAGTCAAGTCAATTATAAATTTGTGCTGAACTATGTTTACTTGCAGACTTGCATCCTTGCCAGAGAAACCGGCTCCCATTGACTGGAGTTACTACAGAACAGTTGTGGCCAAAGCCGGCATGGTGGATGAGTTTGAGAAGAAGGTGAGATCCAGTGATTTCTGTTTGACCCCATCTCTTCTTCTGCAGTGTGTCTGATATTCTCCGTCTACCCGTCTTTCTATCTCCAGTTTTCTGCCTTGGCGGTCCCTGAACCAGTGGACACTCAGACTGCAAAGATTGATTCCCAGGAGCAGGATTCTGTGAGTCTCTCTTCATACTTCAGTTTTTCTTCTCTCCTGGAGATGTTTTATATCATGTTTTATATCATTTTTAAGGCGTAATGCAAATTAAAGATTAAAAAAATCTGAGTTTTGATTAACTTGCTAATTGTAATGGCAGGTTAATAAGGTGTCTTTCTGAAAAATACAGGGAAATTTACTGTACCAGTAGCCTGGGTTTCCCCTAGGGCTGGGCAAAAAAATAGATTTTTCGATTAATCGTTTTTTTAAATGTGTTCGATTCAAAATCGATTCTTAACGGCCACGAATCGATTTTTTCCATATAAAATGCTCGCGGACGCGGTGCTGCATCTTCTCGTTTCTCTGCACTAGGCAAGCGCCAAGCGCTGCAGCTGTCGATACACACACGCGTTTAGGAGTCGGGACATGACGGAATATTCACTTAACAATCGGGCCAGCATTGCATCGTAACCTATGATCGTAACTAACGTTTATCATTTTCACGTCTTTTTAAGTTTTACAAGCAATGTTAAACTATCCCGTGCTCGCGCACTTTCAGAGATGTCTTTCACTGCGTGCACAGTAACGTTACAGCCTAAATCTGCCTCACAAACAGCTTGCCAGAAACAAAAGTTTTATCCCGGGATTATATCACTTTAACAGTTAAAACACGCGACATTATGTCAAAACTCTGGTCTTGGTGAGTAACCTCGTAAAGACAGTCGGTAATGTCTTAAATTAGCATTAAACGTGTGTGACAGAAAGTTAATGAAACAGTAATGGATTCGCGCACTAGTTCTTACGCACTAGTGAACGCAGCCATTTGTGTCAGTCATTCATTCTGTTGTCATAACAACAGAATATAGTATTAATTGTAAGCAATCAGAATTAATAGCCTTTGTATTTAATTCAGTCTGGACTAAAAAGACTATCCAGTGTTATTTTACATTGGATTACTTTAGTCAGTTTCTGTAGTATTTCTGACATACCCAAAAAACTACCCCAAAATGTAGTCTTTATTCTATTGTATTTATTTGTGCTACTTTTTTCAATTTAATTCAAAGATTGAAATCAAGCTTCCATACATAAACTCTTAAAACAAAAATAAACAAAAAATTACATTACCATTTAGGTAAGATCAATGTAAAAAAAATGTCTAAATATTTATATATTTATTTATCTATATCTATCTTAAACATAAAATAACATGATACTGTTTGATCAAGCTGTGCAACTCTTTTTTTGTATATTGCATCAAAATCCTGTTTATTCTTTGTATGCATTTAGTGTACCTAAAATAAAAAGATTTTTATATACAGGTTTATGGCTCTTAATTTCCTTGTATTAATTAACCACTAGTAAACTTATGTCCTGTTCTTTTTTATAAATATAGGATTTATATTACATCTTCATTATAGTCGAATCGAGAATCAAATCAGGAATCGAAATCGAAAATTGAATCGAGAATCGAAATCGAATCGAACTGAGAGCTTGTGAATCGAAATCGAATCGAAATTGAAATGTGAATCGATACCCAGCCCTAGTTTCCCCATGCTGCCTTGAAGCAGCGTGATTTTATTCAGCCTGGTCACCATGAACCAAATTTTCACCTGAGATAGGGAACCAATCACAGAATGGTGAGGGAGCAGCAAGACGATGACTAGGTAGATGCGACTCACCGAAGCAGTTTTTTTATATCTATGGATCCATCTTGGCAGCGGATGCAAAGTTACATTTTGATACAGCCTTTGTGTATACTTAAATCTTCTAAATCTCTGAACCATCGTCTTCATCTAATTTTTTGTCGCTCTACATATGTCATCTGGTTCTCTTTGAACCGATTGGCTATGAGCTACGTACAGGCTCATTTGATAGACATTCGTAGCACCCAATAATACGGCTCTGGGCATTCGTAAACCACGCCTTAAATACGAGAAAATGAACATGTGGTTTTCAGACCACGCCTCATTCTCAATGATGCGTGGTCTGGCGTTAGCCAGGCTACTGTTCTAGACCAAATTCGGAGCATTACTCTCTTAAAAATTGTTGTTTTGTTTTTTCACATATCTGTATGTTGTGTCTCTTAATGTATTCAGAACAAAACTGCAGCTGCTTACTTGGAAGCATCTCAAGCTCGTATCGCTGAATACGAGAAGGGGGTAAGTTCAACCTGCACCTTCGCTGTCACATTATGAGCACTAAACTTATTACAGAACCGAAGAAATGTCAGGCTGTGCTAACGCTTTCCCATAATACTCATTATAGAACTAATTGTGATTTGATCAAATTCACAAGCATGAAGCATTTCAATAAAATGTCCTTGTTTGTCCTTGGCAGCTTGAGAAGTTCAGGAACATGATTCCTTTCGACCAGATGACCATAGAGGATCTCAACAACACCTTCCCGGAGACCAAGCTGGACAAGGAAAAATATCCATACTGGCCACATAAGCCTATCGCCGACCTGTAATTTATTAGCAACACCCGGAGCTTCAGTAATGAATCTTTACGAGTCTGAGGTTGCTCTGTATAGTCTGGTCTGAGTAATACTTCTGCTGTAGAAGTGATTCCAATCGTGAAATAACTCATTACTGTTTTATTTGTGAATGAAAATAAAAATTACTTGTTTAAATAATGACTTGATTGTTTTTGCACAGTATTGTGGATCAGAAGTAGATGGTATTATTGATAGTAAGTGGTAGGCAGATCGAGGATTCGTGGAACACTGTTGTAGCAAATGTGTTAAGGCTTCGAAACAATCTGACACCCGTCTCCACAGTGACCCCTAGTGGTCAGAACAGTGTTAATGCAACAAACCTGGGCCAAACATGCATAGAAACATTTTACAAATCTAATGCTTTTTTTTTTTTTTTTTTAAAGTTGCGATTATTCTAATTACATTATCAAGTGTTTATGTTCTTAGTTTTGCCAACTAACTTCCAGCGGAAGTTGCTAAAAGCGGGCTGATTTGTTGTTAAAACTATGCCCTTATGTAATACACACACACACACACACACACACATATAGAGTTCAGATGCAAAAGCCTCTAAATGGCATTTGAAATTTTCTTCTTTAATGATGATTTTTATCAAACTTGTATATTTAAGTTCAGTAATTTCACTTAAATGGCAATGATAATCACATTAATTGTTATTTAAGTGAAATTGCTGAACTTATACAAGTTTGATAAAAATCATCATTAAAGAAGAAAATTTCATATGGCATTTAGAGGCTTTCGGATCTGAACTCTTCATATACAGTATAGAGTACTTTTAAACTTCGGGTTTCTGGTAGGCCGCGAACAGAACTTCAAAATTCGACTGCTTGACGGCATAAACGTCACTTCCACCGTGCACCTGCTGCCTCATTCACGGCAGCGCCATCATTGATTTTTAATGAGAATGAAAGCGAGGCTGTAGACTTGCATCTCTTCAATGGGCTGTACTGTTACTGTTCTGCTCATGAAACACTGGAAAAATATCTTTCCAAGAAATGTCAGTTGACAAAAAACTCCCGACAATGTAAGCTGTGGAAAATTGTAAATAATCTAGCCGAATTCAGCTTTTTACAGCGGATGCCATTGGAAACACGGTAAGTCTATCCCTCACCGCATCACTTTCATACCTGTCATGGCGCTGCTCTGAATAAGGTCTATGGCCATACCCTTCACTAACTTCCCTCTGTCTCGTTCACTCGGAGGTAGCAAACGGAAACCCCTCCATTACTGTCAATGTCATCATGCATGGACTCACAAATCGGAACTGAACAGTTGCGATAAACAGTGTGGACATCATTTTAGATCACATTCCAATCAGATACAAAGATAACCGGATTTGGACTGACAGTGTAAATGTAGCCATAGTTAATATGTTAACATTTTAGCCATAGTCAAAGCACATGTGGCTGATGCGGTGCCTCTCTCAAACACAAACGCCTTCTTTTAGCAGTATTTTGTACTCTTCTCTTTAACTTTTGGCAGTCTATAGAACTCGAAAGGTATTTTCCCGATGCGACCGATTAGTACAGACCAAAACTCGACCATTTTTCAGTAGAAATAATCAGCCAAATTTGCGAGTCCGTTCAGTTCAATGGCATTGTTTATGTTCTATGCCTCCAAAATGGCCGACTTCCGGATTGAAAAATCATATTTTAGGATACTTAACATGTCTGTGATTTTAGATTGCCTCAAGCTATAATGCTAATCGATTTGTAAAATTTGCAGATTCATTTATAGTAGCTTCTTGATATTATAATATTGACGATGGTATACCACTCAAACATTGCATTGAAGTATACAGTAGATTCAATAAAACGGGTAACCAATAGGCTATAATGACGCTGGCTTGTAAACGTGAGCATCGCGATCATTTGTCGTTAGAAAAAAAAATAAAACCCATGAAATTATATTCATAAGACATGCTGAAATTCTGTAGGCCTACCTGGGATGAAGACATTTCACACGTGACGCAAGCACACCTGTGTAACATAAAAGGCTGACTTGAATATGCTAAAATTTATTCGGAAAGACCCGTGGAGTTCTAGAAGAATGTTTTATTGAGTGATATGACCAATCTGGTGTCTGGTGCATAAAAGAAAGCATGCTAACGTGAAAACCAAAGATTATCTGTGACCTGGAAGCTTTTTTTCAAGCAAGGAATGGCCCATGTTTGCAGTAGAGAGGAGACAGAAGCTCCTAAGTACTTATAGGCTAAGATTGGAGGTTATAAAGAATAAAAGCTGCACCAACTTTGACTTTTGTGGGGTTGAATAATTTTGTACTTGAATGTTTAGAGCCAATTTAATTTTCTTCATTTTTCATCAACTTTACGTTCTTAAAATCACATTAATAAACTTTCTATAATAGTTTACTGATGCTTGTAAACTATTATAGAAAGTTTGGTCAAAGGGGTTGAATGGTTTTGATTGAAAATCGAAAGCGCATTGCCCTGACTAGATGAGCACAGCTGGAGAACTGCTGTTACTGAAAATATGTTTTATGCAAATCTCAAGCCAATTTTTGCCTTCAGTCTTTTGAGACTCAAGTAAAAAAGGACTTAATTAAAGACAATCTTATTTCACTGAATACTCAATGATTTAGTTTCATACATCAGCTAAATTGTTCAGACATCTTTGATTAATGTTCACCACTGTATAAAAATGATTAATTGAAATTGGATCCGCACAGTGAGTGTCTTTTATGTGATGCTTAGCTTTAGTCATGGCTGCCGTCTCAAGGCCACATCATAAACCTTCATTTGTCATGCTTGGAAATTTGAGAAATGTCCTTTTAGGCATAAAATATGTTCTCTCTGTGTGTATGTGTGTGAGACTTTCTTCTGTGGTAATTCTTAAGATTATAAATATATGAAGATTCTCCTAAAAATGCCTCTTTGTGTAACATTTTTCATGTCCTTGGCTATAACCCATGAGAGGCTGGTTTAGAGTCACTAGAGGGCGCAGTGGATCTATACATCTCTTGATTTAAAACTGGCTGGATGTGAACACAGATGCGAGAATTTCCTTTCTGTAACCTTTCTGCAAACCCAAAAAGAGTTTCTGCAACCTTGGATGTGTCGATAATAAAATGCAAATCTGTGAACATAAAAATGAGTTTGAACCCAAATCTAAATTATAATTCAATCCCGCCATCTCAGATGTGACCCGTGAACTTGCCCTTCAGGAATTCAAAAAAGCTTGATGACATGAAAATTTTCAAAGGGGAGAAAACAACTTTAGAAATGAGTAAACTGCCTCGAGACGCCGTGAGGTATACAGGGATTGTATTACTTGCATGACCTGTATTGTTAATATGATAACAGTCAAACTTTTTTATAGCGCTTTTACAATACAGATTGTTTCAAAGCAGCTTTACTGTGATAACAGGAAAATAATGCAACAAAGTTTGTTTCGGCTGTACATCAGATCTAGAAGAAAATAGTGTCATTGTCCAGTTTAAATAAGTTCAGTGATGGTTCATTTTTGTTGTAAAAAAGTTATTAAAGGGTTAGTTCACCCAAAAATGAAAATTAAGTCATTAATTACTCACCCCCATGCTGTACCAACCCCGTAAGACCTTCGTTCGTCTTCGGAACACAAATGAAGATATTTTTGATTAAATTTGAGAGGTGGATCACTACCACATTGGCTCCTAAGGGACTGCCTCTTGACGGCCCAAAAAGTCAATGAAGAAAATGTTTAAATATCCCAAGTGACTACCGTGGCTCAACTATATGTTTATCAAGCGACGCGAATACTTTTTGTGCGAAAAAACAAACAAAAATAACGAGTTTATTCGACTATTTCTTTTCTTCCTTGTAGGCCAGAACGAGACTTCCTTATAGATTTCCACGACGCATGCGCGAGAATTGCGATCTAAGCTGGTGTAAGCAGATCGCAAATCTCGCGCATGCGTGGTGGAAATCTAAGGAATTCTCGTTCTGGCCTACAAGGAAGAAAAGAAATAGTCGAATAAACTCGTTATTTTTGTTTGTTTTTTCGCACAAAAAGTATTCGCGTCGCTTGATAAACATATAGTTGAGCCACGGTAGTCACTTGGGATATTTAAACATTTTCTTCATTGACTTTCTGGGCCGTCAAGAGGCAGTCCCTTAGGAGCCAATGTGGTAGTTATACAGCTCTCAAATTTAATCAAAAATATCTTCATTTGTGTTCCGAAGACGAACGAAGGTCTTACGGGGTTGGTACAGCATGGGGGTGAGTAATTAATGACTTAATTTTCATTTTTGGGTGAACTAACCCTTTAATTTAGTTTATTTACCCTATATTAATAATAATAATCCCTGAAAAAGTAACTATCGGAAAAGGTTTTGTAGGTCTCAAAGTTTTAATTATTTTGTCTCTAAAAACTAAATATCTCCCTGCAACAGTCTGGGAATGTTAGTTTTCAGGTTGTGGAAAATAAATGTAAAATAATCTTGTGAGTGGCCTAATGGAGGTGGACCAATCTGTCCTCTATGAACCTGTCAGCCATGTGCTCACATGCTAATTTCTGTTTCCAATAGAAACTGGATTTGTTTGGCTTTGAACAATGTCATATTAAGAGTCTTTTTCAGTGTTGCGGTCAGGACTCAAAAGTGTGGTTCATTTAGATGAGCTCAGGGTATCAATCATATAAACGATCAGTAAACAAAAATAAGAACTTTAACATGACATAAAGTAATATGTTTATGAAACTAGTTCATTTGATATAATGTCATTGTAAAAGAATGAGCTGATTTTAAGTATCTCGAGACCACAGGTGTGGGACATGAGCAAAAATTATGTTTGGACCTATACATGCATCATAATTTTACATTAAATCTTATTAATTCATTACTTTTTTGGGTGTGTAATGAGATATGTTTATATTTATGAAGCATCAGATGACACATTTTAACATAAATATAAAATGTCACTACTGGGACTTAAAAGCGCTTGTAGTTGCGGAAACACTCATAGGCCTATGTAGTATGAGCTACTTAATATTATTAGACAGAAATCCTCTTGGACATTTCCTCTTCCTCACATCTTGTTTGTAAGTGAGGTATTCATGGCATTCGACATTCCCGAGCAGATACATGTTATAGATAGCAGAGGTCGAGGGAATTTTTCGTCAGCACATTTTCCAGTTTAAGTCCA